TCAACAGCCAGAGAAGTGTTCCAGAAATTTAGAGAGTGACATGTATGAATTCAAAATAATAAACTAGGAATCTAGGTACAAACACAAATAAAATATTGAATGACTAAATGACATACATATTTTATTTTGAATCACTTAAGTGTGTGACTAATCAGAGCTAAAGCAGTGGCAAATTAGAAAGGGAGAAAGAGCTGGAGAAATTAGCAAAGTTGGAAAAAACACCAGTGAATGTAAAACCTCTTTGCTTAACATCTTTATTACACAAACTCATTGTATAGTTTTCTTAAATCGCTGTAACTGAGAACAGATTACAAGCCAAAAAAATCAGATCTGTGTCTACACTAGCCTCTTATTCAACATCTTTCAGCTATTATACCAGTCCTAATGGGAGCTGATATAGTACTATTAGCTCTAGTAACTCTTGGCAGGCCTCACTGCAGATACAAGCTGGTGAAAATTAGTAGCATCTTTCCTGTGGTACGATTCTCCAGTTCATTGTAGTTCTAGAATTACTTTAGTTCAAATTGAGGCTCAAGGGGTTTCAGGCCAAGATCCTTAAGAATATATATATATTATAAAATCAAAAACAGAGTTGCAGATGGGTTTTAATTATCTAAATACAAGACCGTGTTTCTCAAAACAAATGCTAACACTGTCACAGATAATCTTAGTGGCAGCAGAGCTTCTCCTCAGTGGCTGTCATCTTGTTAAGAATATTGGTGGATGTTTGAAACTTAAATCTGATCAGTAGTTTCAAAACAGATGTCTCTGTACCACCTGTCCCACTTCATGCTTGCTTCAGATAAAATATGGGTGTTTTGGCCATTTTCTTTGGGTTTTAAATGTATGAGTGATTAATTGTGCTCTCTTTTTGCAAAATATCAATTAGAGCACTTCTGTAGAATATGGTATCAAGATTGTCAAGATTTTTCACACTATGAATAAACAGAAATCTATGTCTTTCTTGAAAGTATCATAATTGTGAGGTTGTCAGGCTCTGTTGATACTGTTCTGGCATGGGGGACTGCTTTTGGTTTGAAACTTGAGCACTTTAATTAGTAACTCCTGATAAATCCATGTGTATTTTAGGTTACATAAACAATTTGTGTAGTGCAAAAGTTGTCAATTTTGTGCTATTTACAAAAAATAATCTAAGTTAAAATATACACTAACATGATTCATTTAAATGCTAAAACAATAATTCTTTGCAAAGGCTTTTTTTTTTTTCCCACCTTATGGGAAACAAAATCCTGAAACTGCCAACTGCAATTAAATAATCAGTCCTGTGGTAACTAAGGGTGAATGATTTCATGCAAAAATAATTTTTAGGAAGAATATAAAGAGGGATAGATATAAGAGCAAACGTAGAAGAAAGATCTGTGTGAATCTATTGAATTTTTCAGCCTTCTTACTGGTTGATTGACCTAGAAGTTATATGAGCAGGCAATGTCAGTTATCGTGACAACACGTTGCTGGGATTAGCATTTCAAAACATCATTTATATGAGGAAAAAATGAGGTAAATAAATAAATCACCCGATTACAATCTCATTTTGAATATTCTGTTCTCTCTGATTGCTCGCCTGGAATTGGATAGCATTTTTTATTACATAATCCAGCTGAATTTTCAATGCTGTAATTATAAAAGTCATGTAGAGTAAGACCCAATGTAGCACAAAAAAAAAAAACAAACAAGCAAACAAACAAACAAAAAAAAACAGGAAGAAAGAGACTGAAAATCAGGAGAGGAAATATGCAATATGTGGTAACCATCATCTAGTAAATCATGAAGGCAGAGTAGATAGAGTGTTTGGCGATAGGGAAGTTGCAAATTTCTGTTTCTTCCAAATTTGCAAAGAAAAATATACTCATGCCTTATGTCCAGATGTTCAAGAAACTGGGCTATTCAAATAGGTTGAAGGAAATGTCAACTTCATATTGAAATGTTAAGAATTCTGATTTTGTATTTATAAATTCCTTAGTACAGACACTGGAAAATTAGCAGTAATCAATAAAAATGGTTTTACTCCCTCATTACTATGTGTTTTCCTTCAGTCTGTAGATGACAAGTTACTCACAGATTTTTCTATACATGCTAAAATAGAAGGTGAGTATCCTGACTTTTGAACAGTGACTATTCTGGTCAGACATTCTGTTCCCTAAGAATTAAGCAGAAAAGTAGTTAATGCTCACAGGTCAAACAATGAATAAAATCTTTGACCCACTCTCTACTCCATAACATGTGATTTACTTCATTTTAGAGACTACAATGAGAAGTTTCCTATTACTTAAACACAGACATTCAAGGTTATTTTAATTGCTTAAAGGAATCTCAGACACCCCCTGACAGATATGACATGGCGTGTACAAGAAACCCAGATTTTCTGGAACAGCAGTGAATAACACTATTGAATTATGTACTCTTGACACAACCCTGTGCAAATGCAACAAGTGGAGATTTACTGTTAGTAGATGAGTTTCTCTGTGCCATAGAGATTGTTATATTCTGCTGAGAGTCTTAGCAGTCACGGGATCTGAGGACTATGCTGAAGTGACAGACCATATATTTCCCTGTGTGTGTCATACATACGCATAGGTGGAGACAAGGAGTTAATGAGTTTGTGGTACTGTAAAATGCCTGAGATCACATAAATGATTAATTATCAATCACTTGTGAAGTGATTTTAGATTATGCCTAATGCTCTCTCACCTTAGAGCGACTCATGCCAGAGGCATCCTAGTCACGGAAAAAAATAAGGTGATAAATCAAGCAATAATTTAAATATTTTGTCTGTCATACCAGGATGTTTACAGCTACAGAGTATGAAATGAATTATTAAATCAGGATGACTCCAAGAAAGTATCACCTTTGTATTTGGTAGATGAAAAATTAAATAAAAAAAAAAGTTGCCTCTAGCATATCTGAGCCTGTTATTCACTTTGGTTTACTGAATAGATTCATCACTACTATGTTTATCTTATACTGCTGTGGCTTTACTGTTTCAGCTCAGTTTGGAGTTCTACTTTTGTTACACACTAGTTCATGTGTTTGTTGACTCTGTGAGTTTACACAGAGGATGCTTTTGTTTCACTGTAGCAAATTCTGATTACGCTTGCAGTCTGATCCTCGCTGTAACTGAAAATTTGAAGCTGGACCTGTCTGTAGTTGGGAAGGGAAGAGACTGCCCAGAGGAGCATAAATAGAAGCAGCACAAAAGCAGGCTGGTTGCATAAATAATTATAATTTTGAATGATGAAAAACGTATTGGGTATTGTTAATTTTTATTGTCCCACTGGAGGGAGAAAACTACCTCTGATAATGGAATATTGCTGCTTGATCTGGCAGCCTCACAGTTTCCAAATCCACAAGCTGTGTTTATGGTTCTAGGAACAGCAGTACAGGCTGTTCACAGATGGCATTCCTCTGAGCATTAATTCAGGAGAAACAGAAAGATGTCCTCTTATGAAAGAAGAGGAAGCTGTTCCACTGATCTGTAAGTTTTGCAACATAAATCCCAGGAATTGGTGAGTATGAGATAGCCTAAGCCAAACTTTGACCTTGAGACACAGCTCATCATTTTGAGTATGTTCAGATCACTTCTTGTCAGTCCCATGGCTGGCCATTTCCCAGAGGTTACAAATTCATTCTGTAACAGTGGTCTACTTTCAGTTCTTGCAAGATAATTTTTTTCCATAGCCCTTAGCTAAAGGAGTTCCCTACTAGAGGACTAAGTGACATATTACTTGGTAGAAACCACCTCCTCTTAATTGCTAGACTCTCTCAGCTTTTCACACCAATACTATTGAATGGTATGCTGGCCATTTTCCAACTATGTAGATGTTGATGGTTTTGGCTATGGTCCCAAAAGGGTGGGGACATCCAACATGATAAAACACATTGAAAAAAATCATAGAACAAATATGCCCCAGAGGGTTACTTCAGGAGAATAGGCAAGCTCTGTGTCTGCTAGTAATCTGAACACAGCATTCACTGTTGCTGCTCATGATTTCATCAGCTCATTTCAGCAATGTGGCTCAACGGACTTCAGCATGTCTTTTCAGAAGCAGCAAATACATGATTGAAAACACTCTGGAGATGTGAACTTGACCATGTAGCGTGTGGATACTGATTGTAGTTATGCTTCCTTGAGAATAGAGAAGATATTCGATGTTTTGTGGTTGTTGCTGTTTCCAGTGACAGGTTCCTCATAGACTGCTTTGTTAAAAAGGGCACTTGCCCTTTGGTCCCATGAGAAGGGCACTGCTGTGCAGAGAGGATGTTGGCACAGGTGCTAACAGCTGTCTATAGAGTAGTGCTGGGTCATGGATCAAATGAAAACATATTGTAAGGAGAACAGGTCCCACAAGAACAGCCTACCAAGTTGTATGCTTTTATTAGGTGAAGAATAACTTGCTCTCAAAAGTGTCTATGGAAAAGTATGATGTCATGAATGAGTGGGCCTGCAAAAATACTGGTGGGTTTTGAAATGTGGCAATAAATATTCAGATGCAACACAAAACAGTAACTTCTAGCATGACAAATGAGAGGTTTCCTAAAACGTATTATCCAAGAGGATGATTTCACTTTAAAATGTAAAAGTGAATGATAACGTCTACTTTTCTTGGAAACTGACATTCTGAGCATTCATGAGTCAGAACACTGATGCATTATTTACTGTGCAAGGAAAAGAAGTCCAGGAAACTTGACAGGCATCACTGAAATCTGTGCTTTCATAAAAGTATTACCTTTTAACCAGAATCACAGCAGAAGTGCAAGAAGGATATAGGAAAAAGAACTACCAGAGCAGATTCTGCTGTTACTAATGATGATCCTTCTTGTCATGCAGAGTAAGGCATGATTTGTTACTTCTTCCCATCTGTAGGAGTTCTATCTTGCTGACAGTGTTGCAGGAAGAAAGGAAAAGGGAGAGGGATGGGATGGGGCATCCACAGTCTCTGGGCAACCTGTTCCAGCACCTCACCACCCTCAGTAAAAAGAAAAGAAACAAAACAAGGAAGAAAAGATTAGGAAAAAGGTATAAAAACATTTTCCAACTGTTAAAACTAAAGATAGTTTTCTAGTTCTGACTTAATTATACCATATTGACTGCATCTTATAATTAAATATTGTCAAGTTGAGGTAAATTCATGTGCTACCTTATAATTGAGAAATAAAAAATAACTGCAATTACAAAAATGTTTCAGGAAATAGAAATCTTAATCAAAAATATCATTAAAAACCAATCAGAAATCACTGCTGAATGGTGTAATTAAGAACTATTCTTCACGCTTAGTTTTCTCTTATAAAAACCAAAGGAATGATTTGGGCTGAAAATAGTGTAACTTTGTGAAACATTGTTTTATGGAAAGTAAACTTTCTGCCAATACAAATTTAGTCATTACTTTGAGAAGCTGGCATTACTCTGTTAAGAATTCATATTTAATATGTAATGAGTAGGAATTAAAAAATCATATATATCCCATGTTCTTAAAAAGGCTAAAATGACTTCAGCTTTACACCTCTAGCCAAGTAGCCAAGTGTGCTTGCTTACAAAAATATATTCTTTAAACTAGGACAAAGGACAGATAACCTCTTAAGACCTTGCAGAACTATACAGAAAATAACAGGAAGTAAACTATCTGATACCAAAAACACAGTTCTTATGGCTAGATAAAATGTTCACAATGAACGTTTTAAAAGAGAAAGCAGTGGCCCTCTCTGAGGAAGTTATCAGTGTGTATCTGGAGGAAGTCTGGTGAAGATGTTTGAAGTCTGCCAGAAGACATGCTTTGAGTTGAAGGCATCTCGGACCACAACTGAAAAGAGTGAAGAATTACCTATTAAAGCAGCCAGAGTCAGTGGTTTGGTAATTCTGAATAAAAAGGCTTAAAACAAAAAGCCAGGGTGAGCACAGTTGTGGTCAATGTCTTCAGTGTAAATGTGGAATGCTTCTTCAGTTGTTCCTTTAGAATATATACATTTAAAAAAGCCTCAATACTTGAACATGGAGATGAAAGTGTAAACTTCATCTAGCACAAATTGTCAAAATGAGTTATCCTTATGAGGTAGTATTTTATCCTTAAATTTGCATAAATGCACAAGGAAACTGCCTCACTTTTTTAAATTGTTGAGATATCCTAGCTGATCAGCAGCAGTTTTTAAGATAGCTAAAGGCAGTGCCTGAGGTGTAACTCAATAGGTAAAATTATATCAGGGAAAACTGTTCAGTCTCCGCTTCAGAGTTACTCTTTAAAAAGCTACACAGTTACACATGCCCCTGCCTCACACAGTAGTTGTAAGAGAGAGAATCATTCTTCCTTACCCATTGGGCAGCTCTTGGAGGTTCTGTCCAAGTGTCAAAACACAAAGCTGCGAGGAACTGTAGCGATTAAGATTTGGAAAAAAAAACAGAAAATAAATTCTCTGTTTTGAACTCTGAATCAGATCATTTAAAAATATAGTAAATTCACAGATTCGGTAGTTTAGTGTTCTGTTCTGCCTGGAGGATTTTGAAATTGAGTCCTTTACCTCGGAGTACTCTGACTGCATAGATACTGAATGGCTGTCTTAAGTAATCCTAACTACTTAACTGTCCAGCTTGTGGAAAATGCAGGGGAAAAAAAAAAAGCTGACATCAAGACATATTAAACATGAAAGAAAAGGGTGCCTGTCTTTGGGCATTGGGGCATTCACTATTGAAATAGGATACATTGTCTCTCATTTCAGTGCAGCGTTTAGTTAATATGGGGTGCAAGTACTGGTTGTACTTTCCACTGCTAAAGATGTTCATTTACAAGGTGGGAAATAAGAACAGCCTGTTAGCTGTGAAGTCATTTTCTGCAATTTTAATCTTTTCTACATGGGCTGGTTTGTAGACAAAACAAAAAAATATTTCTTTTCCTGCTTATATGTATGTTATGGAAGCATTAAGAATTAAGTTCACTGTATTCAGTATTTTGATGCTCAACAAAAGCCCCACCAAATTTTACCAGAAAAAGTCTAGCTATTTGTTTTTGTTTCTCTGCATTTGGATGCTGCGGAGTATTGTGGCTGGTTTTTTTTCTTTTTTTTTTCTTTTTTTTTTTTTTTCCCCTGTCTCACTGTAAATGCTTATTATTGTATGAGCAAGCCTTACACTTAATCCTATTGTGGTTAAATGAGAAGATTTGGCAATTTCACTCCACGCTGTCATCTTTAATCGCCCTACCCATGCATGCATGTCTCTTGCTACTGCTTGATCTATTCAAAGGATATTTTGTTGAGAACATCATCTGTATCTAGCTTTATTTTTAGGAAGATATGATTTGGGGTCCAATAACAAAAATGGTTTGCAAATTTGCATCTTCTCAGTGGGAAATATTTAAAAAATACAAGGTATTATTGTACAATCACAGCATACCTATGAATTGCCATGGAATCTTGTGAAAATCAAATGTAGCTTTGAAAAATTCTTCACCAAAACAGTTTCAGGAGGACAGTTGAGGAGTAGGCGGATGGTGCTTGGCCTTGGTGTGGAGTCATGTGGAACAGTCACAGCTCTGGTCAAATACATGCAGAGAACCTGACAAATGAGATGTGGAAGGGTGTGACATGTTTAACTTTGTGAAAGGAAGGCTGAGAGGGGATAAGATTTCTCTCCTAAGGGAACAGAACTGTTTAAGTGAAAGAACAATGTTGGCACAAGAACAAATAGATATAGGTTGACCCTGAACAATCTTGTGTTGGATGTTAAAAGAAAATTTCTGACTATTAAAAAAGTTTTCTTCAAGCTGTCGCAGCCACTTACCAAGGATGACCAGCATAGACCTGAAATAAAGAGGTTTGAAATGGACAAGGGAAGAACTACTGATGTCATCTATCTGGACTTTAGTAAGGCTTGTGAAAATGTCCCTCACAACTTCCTTCTCTCCAAATTAGAAAGATATGGATATAATGGGTGGACTAATGGGTGGAATAATGTTTGATTGACAAAGAAATGTTTGTGAGACTGCACCCAGAGAGTGGTGATCAATGGCTCAACGTCTAGTTATGAGTGCTGTCCCTCAGGGATCAGTACCGGGACCAATGTTCTTCAGTATAACCATCAGTGACACTGGCAGTGGGATCAAGTTGATCCTCAACAAGTCTGTGGATGACACCATGCTCTGTGGTGTAGTTAATTCTTCTGAGGGAGAGATTAGACACGCTGAGCAGTGGGTCCAGAGGAACTTCATGAGGATCAACAAATCAAAGTGCAAGGTTTTGTACCTGTATCATGGCAACCAATGCTGTCAGTACAAGCTGGGGAAAAAACTGATTGAGCACAGCCCTGCAGAAACTAACCTGGGAGTACTGGTGGATGGTGAACTGGACATAAGCCATTTGTGTGCCTTTGCAGCACAGAAAGCCAACAAAATATGTATGGCCAGCAGGTTGAGGAAGGTGGTCCTACTCCTCTACTCTGTGCTGGTGAGACCTCACTTGGAGTACTGTGTCCAGATGTGGAATCCTCAGTACGGGAGATTCATAGACCTGTTGGAGCACATCCAGAGGAGGCCCACCAAAAAATGATCCAAGAGATGGAACTCTTTTACAAGGACAGGCTGAGAAAGCTGAGACTGTTTAGTGTGGAGAAGATTTCAGGGGGACTTGATAGCAGCCTTCTGGCATCCAAAAGGATTTACAAGAAAGAAGGAGATGGACTCTTTAGCAGGGTCTGTTATGGTAGGACAAGAGGAAATGGTTTCGTAATAATAGGGAATAACAGGGAAGATTTAGACTGGACACACCCAAAAAAGTTTTTTATAATAAGTGTAGTGAAGCACTGGCACAGGTTGCTCAGAGAAGTTGTCCTCAGAGACATTCAAGGTCAGGTTGGACCAGGCTCTGAACAACCTGATCTAGCTGTAGATGTCTGTATACTGCTAGACTAAATGACTTTGAGTGTCATTTCCAACTGAAATGACTCTATGATTCTATGATGTCTGAATGAGAATGTATACCTCAAAAGTAGCAGAAAATTGAACCATGCATGTGTACTTCTCTAGCACCAGCTTTTTTTCTTTAAATGTGGTTTATGGAATCAGAGTAATGCTGTGTGATTTATTTGCAAGGAGCAAGAGTCCAGACATAATGAGCCTCTTCCAAGCTCTCTTCCCAGAAGGAATTCCCATCAAATTTCCATTAAGCTCTTACAACATATCTAATAGAATGGTATCTGTATTGACGTTAAGGTTTGTTTTTAACTGGCATAATCCAATTCAAGAGTAATTTGCTGACTTTAGGCAACATTTTCTTGCCAATCTGTTACTGCTCTAACATGTGCGTCAACTCATACCAAATGATTTTAATAATCCCTCCTAGTCTTAAAGTCCATTAAAACGTGAATGATCTGACCCGAAGTCCACTGGAACCCAAGGGGATCTTCCCATGGTTTCATCGGTATGTATAGATAGAAAGCACTATTTTAACACACAGTAAATTAATTTTTCCAACCGGGATTTTCTGAAGTATCAGTCATGAAATCTGCCATCAAGCATTTTTGTGATATCCACAAAGACAAAGTAAAGCAGCCTTGAAAATTACATCATTTACAAAAGATTATTTACTTTTGGCTGTCGCTGACTCTACGTTAGTTGTTTTGCAGAACATTAGGGGTTATGAACTTAAAACCTCTAGTTTTATCTAGGAGGCTAATAACAGATGTACTGTCATGTGCTGTACATTTTCCTTGATGGTACAGTTTCTGTTGCTGATAGCTTTATGCTGAGAAAAAATAAATCCAGCTTTTGAAGACTTTTTCTATGATATCTTTGCCTTTACAGGGAATACAGAGGAAAACACTAGGCATAAAAAACACAAAGTTCTATTGAGAACAGCATAGATATCCCTAGATAGAAGAAAATCAAACTTTATTCCAGAAGAAAATAAGTTAAAGATATTTAATTACAAGCACTTCCAAAATTAGATAAGTTGCTCCAAAAATAATGCTTCCTACTTATTTCCATGGCAACTACAACAGCTACAAAGAGAAAAATAACAGTTTGATAGAACAAA